CAATTCCAACATGTTGGCCCCTGACATCACAGTTTTTAAGGTGAAAGTCACTTGATGAAATGCGCTGAACCTTTGTTGATTCTTACGAACATTCAAAACAGTTCCATAAACTTCTTTGATATTCCTTATGGCTATAGAGGCATTGTTTCCCTTCTTGTATTCAAACAGCATTACATGCCAAATGTGTGTCTCATTGTGTGCCATCACTAAAAGGGATTAAGAGTATACTAAACTTTACACATTATACACGCTAAACTAACGTGATGTTTAGGTAGTTTGTTTAACTGTTATACTTGATGTGCTTATTTTTTGGGGTGGTTAATGAAAGTGTTCCAAAACGCTACATTATTTCTTGATGACCTAATATTTCATCTAAGGTTTGGATATACTGTGTAAAATTCATACTATCCTTCCCTTTGATGTAATATTTAGATAGATATAGAACATGTAAACAATGATTGAATACCTTGTTTTATTGTTATATTCTGTTCACAAATTTCCTCAGCACTGGAATTTTTTCCTCCCAAAAATATCACAAACATTCAGAATATTTTAAGTGATGTTTATAATTTTAAATAATTTGTAGAATTAATTACTCCTAACATCAGCAAAATATGCTTATTATTTTTATTTCTAATTTTTGATACATCTAGTTTTTCAACATAAAAGTTGAAATTGATAAAAATCATATGTGAAATTTCTCAATTGCATTTATTTTTATGGGCATACACTGCCTATTTCATTTAAATTATCTACACTTGTAATTAAAATGCATAAATAGTTGAACATATAGGTACCTTTCACTGTTCGAGGTAATATGTTTTTGGCTAGATACTTTTGAATGCTGTGTAAAACCATTGTTTAAAGTATGAATTTGGCCCTTTGCATATTAATTTAGTAGGCTCTAGAGGTTATGGAAATGAAATATAGCTGTAAGATGAAAAAAAAATATCTTTATTCTTAGCATATAAATCTCCTTTCTTTCAGATGGACCTTGTGAAATCTTTGTAAATTCATAGACAACTAGAGGGGCACTCATTAGAGTGCATACCTTCGCCACACAGGGTTGATCATATTTGGCTCTAAAAAAAAAAATGTGTGTGTGTATGTCCATTATTACCAATGGAAACAGACCATTTTTGACAGGACAATGAGTAATAATATTCTACATATGTCCACCAAGTTTCTTCAAAATTAATCATTTTTGACTGAGTTATAGAACAAAAATATTGTTAAAAATCAGTCCCCATATTAACAGAGATTTTTTTGGATTTTTGTGACCTTGCTGTGACCTTGACACTCCAAAACTAATCACTTCTAAGTTGGGTCACAGTTTAAATATATTCACTTGTCATCCAAATCCATTCAGCTGTTTTGGGGAAATCTTGCTGTCAAACACACACACAGGCGTGAAAATATAACCTTTGTCCACCTTTAGTGGCAGAGGTAAATATTTAGTAAAAATCCAATTTTAATGCTCACTAAAAGTTTGCAAAATTTTGGGAAGATTCACATAGTAAATTCAGAATTATAGTAAACATTATGCTTTAAGTGTGACCTAACTATAATCATCATATGTTAGGAAGTGCTGTTTTTATGCTTTCCATCTCTGATGATTTTAACTGTCTCCATACAGAGTCATCAGTGTGACCAACCTTGTAAACACAAAGAAACCATCAGCATTTCTGTTTCCATACTATAATTTCTGTGTATCTTTGCAAAACTTGGCAGACTTTCAGTAAACATTACAAGTCTTTTGTACACAAAAAATCAGATTCTTTAATTGAGGTTTATTTGTGAATTAATAGAGTCAGAGTGTTGACTGCTCCGAGTGCAAAGCAATTTTCATGTTAAGATTAAAAATAATTTTTTTGTTAGAACTTTATATTTTATCTGTTATTTTCCCTACCTTAACTTTTAAAGACTTGATTGATTTGATCAACCTTGTAACCACCATTAAAAATAAAAAATTAAATAAATCTAAATTTCCTTTTTTTCTTGTTAGAATGACTACAGATTGTAACAGAAAACGACAATTGTTTATCCTAAATACCTTAAGGGTTATAACAGTCTACATCTACTTAATTTTATTGCTCTTTGAACTCTGTCTAACTAATAATCTCACCACACAAGTTGCAAACCATTGTGTGAATGCATAGATCATGTTGCCATATTGAATGACATAATGCACAAGCATACCATGTGAAGAAATGTTATTATTATTTATCGTTATCTGACCTAATAAGTTTATAATTTTTGTACTTTAGTAACTTATATAACTAACAATAAATAAAAAATATACATGAAAAACAAGAAAAATAGTACTTATTTTTGACATCTTGTTTTTTGCTGTCAGTTGCTGATAACATTAAACCCTACCTTTTTTATAATAATAGCACTACCACACTAAATAATGCACCTAAGAACACAGCTAATGTATTTTAAGTTTGCAAAACTATGAATACATACCACTTTATATTACATAATAAAAGATCAAAAGCTACTTCTGATAACATTTACATTAAGAAACTTATACAAAAAGGCTTTACTTTTAATTAATTGATACACATTAAGGAAAGTATTTGTACAAACTACACTTCATGGTTCATGTTAAGGAGATAAAACATACAATTTCATATAAGTTTAATGAATTTGTATGTTCTAAAAACTTTATTTTTACTATGACCACCTGTATGTATTTAAGATACAGTCCTTTAAGTTTGTATTGGAAAGCAAAAGGTGTAAATTATCAATAAGAAAGATATTATACAGAAAACAGTTTCAGATGTTACAGAAATATCCTAAATATTCTGAATAGATAGTTTGTGCTAAATGATGTCACATATTAACAGAACCTCTACTAGTTGTATAGTGCACAATAAATGAGATCAAACTTGTAAAACTTTTGTATTTCTAATAATTAGATGAAATATTGCTTCGGAAGTTATTTAAATATGTTAATAACTCATGGTTAACACATTAGTGATTTAGTGTTTGAAACTTGCATTGAAACTTAGGTTTGTGTTTGCTAAGAAACTATCATCCCTTGAAAATATAGTTGTCATTGTTTTGTTTCTCAAGTGATTTTAATTTTCTTTCTCTGAATTTTGTTAGAACAGTCTCTCAATTCACATTATTTTATGGCCTAACTAAGGAAAATCAACTTTTAAAATAGCTGTAGATGAAACATAAATACCAATGGACAGAGCAGATTACAAACTATTTACATCAATGCAGAGTGAATATAGTGGTGTGAAAAGTAATTTATAGTTTTGTGGGAGAGTGATAAACTATAGCTTATGCAGAAAACAACAACAGAATGTATAGGAAAATTTAAAAGACATAGTAAAAAAAGAACACAGACTTTGAAATTTGTTATAGTTTTTTTAGATGTTATTTTCATTCCGAAAAATGTTTTTGTGTTAAAATATATTTATTTGAAAACTATGAATTTGTTTTTTCTATGACAGACATTAGGTAAACTTTATTCGGTTTAGAGAGTATGGTAGGCAATGGCAAAATATTCTGGTGCCATAAGTGTAACTCATATCTTTATGTATTGAATATTGTTAACCAAAAGATTTGATATCTTTTATAAAAATCATGTTAATTATAGATGTGTTTTTTTTTCCACATTTCCCTACATTTGTCCATTGCATATTCAAAATCAGAGGCATGTAAAAATAATTTTTCAGATCTATCTCTTGTCTCCTACATGAAAAAAACAAAAACATTTAACATGATGTTTATTACAGGTTTTAGATCTATTAGTTTCTAATGTTTTGCCAGCTTTCTGCATTTATACAATAAATATTATTGTTAAGTTTATCATAATTACACACATAATTTATTAATTATAATTTATTGAGAAGAAAGTATATTTAACACATATAAATTGTTTAACCTAAAGAAATAAAGAAAAACTGAATCAAATTATATGAATTTTTTAAGCCAAAACTTGGTATTGCTTAATAAGTTGTTTCTAAATTTCATGCACGTTAGTTAAGTATTTCTACTGTGAAAAGGAAAGAATCAAGAGATATCAGTGACGCTCACCCACCTGAGTCCTCTCCACAACAAAACATATGAAACAGATATAATCTTAATGTGTTCCTGGTGCAAGGTTGTTTATTTATATTTGTGGTTGGGATATGTAAACTTGGCCAAAAATTAAGCTCTTAGCTGTGCTTAATCCTTTCATGATGGGCTCAGTATAAAATACGAGTTCATATACATATTTGCACATGTTAAGTATTTATACTATAACTTTTAATGCACTATGTGTATCTTCATAAAATTTGGTAGACTTCTAGCAAACATTACAAATATTTTATACACAAAAAATCAGGTTTTTTAATGAAGTATTTTTACTAAAGATTTGTTTGTGATTATATTGAGTCTAATAATGCTTGGAGATGGCTTGAATGGTAATGAAGAAAAACCTTAATATAAGTTTAACAAAATGGCAAATGTACAACATTTCGACAAGGTTTTGTCATCATCAAAACCTTGTTGATAAGTGTTAAAAATAATTAAAAACATATCATAGCAGTTCCTGGAACTAATGTTTAGATTCTTAAGTATATTAAAAATTATTTTTGTGAAATAAAAAAGTATTCTATTTTTCAGAGTATTTTGTGAAGCTAATAAGATTGAAGCATTATGTGCAGCAGACTTTGGAAAAGTGATGAAGCATGTTTTACCATCTGTTAAACCTCGTCGACTTGGAACTCGAGGAAATTCAAGGTACAAATTCCTTAGGCTTTTATATATGTTATAGGTATTATAGGAAATTCAAAATGGAATAATTGTAAGATCTCATTAATTCATTATCACCTGGCTTCATCTTTTGGTTATCTAGCAGTCATATAATATGTTGCATTCATACCTTAAAAAAGCATTACATCTTTAACTCTCTCAACACGGGCTCGGTCAGTTTGACTGATCACATGACCTCTTTGTACTTGATTAAAGTCTTTATAGATTTAATACTTCTAACTTTCATTATAGTGTGTATATCTTCACATAATTTGGCAGTCTTTCACATACAAAAAATGATATTTTTTAGTGAAGTATTTTTAATGAAATAAAATAAAGATTTCTCCATGAATATATTGAGTATTTGTCGTGAATAGTCCTTGTGCAAAGTAATTTTCATGTTAATTTTTAAAAATACTTTTTCTTATCTCAAAAATCTAAAACTTAATTACCCATGCGAAGCTGGGTACTTTCGCTAGTATTAAATAAGTTTAAAGTGATTAGATAAATAAAATGAAATTTTCTGATTAATAATAAAAAACTAGAAAATTCTAAGACAAAAAAGGATGTTTTTTAAATCAGTTTTTGACAGTAAATGTCAAACATTTTGCAACTTGTAAAAAAATGAAACAAATACAAAATCAATTATTTTATGAATTATTCATATATCAACTAGACATTGCTTAGAAAGGTTGTACTAAAGTTCATTCAGAAAACAATGGGATATCAGTGATACCTCTCTGGCCTGGAAAGGGGTAAGGGAAGCATAGTCAAAACTTGCTGTATTAGTTACCATAGGGCACTAAACAATTCTTGACATGATGAAATACTTTTATAATTTCTTTGCTAATTTTGAAATAACTCCAATATAAGAAAACTCTTTTATTGAACAATATTTCAAGTTATGGCTACATCAGGAGCTTATCATTACAAGAAAGATTTATTATGATTTTAAAATTCATATTTTAAGAACAGTGTGAGATTTATTCACAGTATACATGTAGTAGTTAACAATTTTGATATAGCCATCTTTTTCTGCGCATGTCACAAGATTTTAGTGAGTTACATTCAAAATTTAATTAAATAATTTTCTTATCATGGTATATGAATAAGTTTTAATATTATAAGGCAATATTTATAAAAAATCCAGAATTTCCCTTAGTAGGAGAATTGTGAATTTGCTCTCTAGTTATACCCTCTTCTCTAATTTATTTGCCACCCATTTGAGTAGTTCGAAATTTAACGTAAGTTACTCATTATAATGTTTTCATCACTCAAGCAAAATATAATTTTTATAGATTTCAATCTTATTTGTTTTCAGAGCCATAATCTAGAAAATCAGACCCCTCTTGCCATGCCCATCTGTCGCATCCTCTCTTCCAAAAATTGCCAGTAGTTCTTCTCTAATGTTTAATACTGTATTGTTTATAACCAATGGAAAGCCAAAGTTTTAAGCTGTCAAATGACTTTTATATTACATTGTTTTCTGTACAGAGAATTGTCTATTTTGCTACCAGTTCAAACTTTATTCCCACAGAAAACTCATCAATGACCTTAGTTGAAAAAATTGTGGTACTTATGGGACATTATCTGGTTTTTGCATGTTTTTATTCTGTGTTCTTTGGTTCATTATTTAATAAAAAGTTTAGCCCAGTAGTACCATTGGTATAAAAAAAAAAGTTAAGTGTCATCAACAGTTGACAGAAGAAATAAAAGAAGACCCAGATAAGTACTTTATTGTATATAAGTACTTTATGTCATGTATATTGTATATTTATTATTTATAAAACTAAAGAAAATGTGAAACGTTTTAGGTTAGGTAAAGTAAAGGATAATAATAATAAAATATTTTTACAAGGTATGCTCACTGTATGTTATGCATTTCAGTAGGGTAATGTGATCTACACATTTACTGAGTGATTTAGAACTTGTATAGTGCAAATATTATTTAGACACAGCTCAAAGGGCAATAAAGCAATAAATTTGAATTAGAAACAGATGTATACTGTTGTGAGTTTTATGCTATTTAGAATAAACAAATTTAGTTTCATGTTACAATTTGATGTCATTTTAGAAAGAAAAAAATGATAATTTCGATTTATTTCTTATTATTTTATGGTGATTATGAGGTTGGTTAAATTGACTGATTGCATTTTGAGTTAGGGTAGAGAAAATATAAAAGTTTACTAGAAAAAAGTTTGAAATTTATTTAAGATATTTTAGAGATTGCGCAAAAGAAATTTGTGATTTTTCAGATGAAGAAAAGCTTTTTGATTGTAACATTAAAATCACTTTGTGTACTCAGGGCAGTCAACACTTTGACTCCATATAATCATGGAAAAAATTTTAGTGAAAATATTTTGTAAAAAAATTCTGATTTTTGTCTACAGATCACTTAATAATTACTGAAGGCTTGCCAAAAAACGTTGCTTTGTTTCATTATTAAAGCATTCCAACATCGTCAACTACTTTTTCAGGTGTAGTGTTTACCAATTACTACTGATATTTTTGAAACAATGTCACCTTGTTTTATTAATAGAGTGTTAAAACATTTTCAGACTACTTTACCGGTGTAGTGTTCAACAACTACTGTACATTATTTTACTACCAACACGTGTGTGAAGCAATGTTACCATGTTCCATTCTAGAGTGTGCCAATGTTATCAGACTAGTTTACTGGGCAGAGTGTGGTGTAAACACATTTTGTTTGTGTGCCATTGCCTGAGCACAATGTTTTTTCTGCTGCAGAAAAGCCTTGTTTCCACCCTTCCAACATGGCTCCAAAGTGGTCACCTAGTGATAGTAAAGTGCCCCTTGCTAAGAAGCCCAGAAAATCAATTAAATTTAGCACTAAACTATTTATTTTTTTAATGTTCTTACATGCATGTTTTCTATAGTACACTGTAGTTAAAAAAGCCATGTTACACCCTTTAAAAGAGTTATTTAAGAGTGGACTGAAAATTTTCAGGAATGCATCCCCCCCTCCTCCCCATAATACATGTAAAGATTGTGTTGCATAACGTTGTTTCAGACATACGTCCCACTTTTCAGGAAAACATCATGATGTATAACAGATATTCCCTGTGCTGAAAAATCAAAGAATCAATTTTAATATGCCAGAAAAGTGCTATGAAGGTCAGTGAGCATATCAGGTAGTCAAACCTCATGTTTTGTGTTGGGTGTTTATCTTGAACAAGTGAAGAAGTGCACTGAATAAGTGATATGTATGTAAGTACTAACAGTCAAGTGCATTTTTTATTTACTCTGTTGCCTCCAAGTGGATCAGCATTAAGTTTGAAGGCTAATAATGCTAAAAACCAGGTTTTGATACTTGTGGTGGGCACAGCACAGATAGCCCATTGTGTAGCTTTGTGCTTAACAAACAAACAAATCAGGGCTGTCACAACTGCTGAGCACCTTTCAGGTGTCAAGTGCACACCTGCATGTCATATTTCAAAATTTAAGAATAAATTATACTTCTGATTCTGTTTCAACAATTTTTCACTCAAAAATATTTTACGATAGATATTCTATAATTTCCTAATATTTATTTATTGTCATTTGCAAAGAAAAATGTAAAAAAATTTTCAAACTTACATTTCAACACAATGCTGAGGAGACTTACTATTGATTTTATAATAATTTTTCTGCCTATCCCAAACATAGGTTTTGTGCTTGCTAAGAATCTATCATCCCTTGGAAATACAGTTAATGAAATCTTGTTTTTTGTGTTTATTTTCTTTCTCTGTCTGAAGTTTTATTATTACAGCCTATTCATATCACCTGCTGTGAGGTCATAAAAGGGTGAAGACAAATACTAATGAAGAACAGCTTTGAAAATAGCATTTGATAAAGTAGATTAGAAAAAATTTACATCAATGTAAAGTGATATGAAAAGTTATGATATGATTTTATAAGAAAGTGGTTAAATGCGGAGAATAATAATGGAATTTAGTGTCCAGTTTAGAAGACTGAAGAATAAACCAGAGATCTGGGAATTTTTTTATAGTTTCTGTAGGTGTTGTTTTCATTTTTGAAACCATTTTTATGGTAATTATATTTGTTTAAAAGTCATGGCAATTTTCCTTTATGACAAGACATCAGGTAAGCCTTATTAGGGTTAGAGACGCATAATAGCAATGGTGGAATAATCCAATGACTCGTATTCTTATTTATTGAATATTATTGTGAAATTTATTGACAATAAAGTATATTTATTACATAAAAAAATGATTTAAACCAAGGATACTATTAAGAAAAATATTGTTTCCTAGCCTGACCAGACATCATTTTGAAAATTCAGACCAGATGTCACAGATAAGTCCTTGTTGGTTTATGTGGTGTTTTTTATTATTTATAGCCAAAAGTGATGACTACTGCAATTGCCAAAATAAAATTTCAAAAGAAATATGTTAATTAAAATCAGTCAAGTTAGAACTTACTAGATATATAAAATGGAACTTTCTTATCGACTATAAGAAATTGAAATGCTGAAACGAAAGGAAGTATTTTGGTTGTTTCTCAGAGAAAATTGCCTTACAACGAAATTTTGGAAATTTTGCTAGATAGTAATAGAAAAGCTTAATCAATTTATATGAATTTCTTAAAGATGCAACAAGATATTATATAGTAAGTTTGTGCTAATTTTCTTGCCATTTGTTTAAGTTTTTTTTTGTAAGAAGGAAAAAATCGAGGAATATCAGTGATGCCCGTATCCTGTTTAGACAGGGTTAATGAAGTATAGACTAGACTAGACTCTGCCCAAATCTTCCAAAATTGCAGTGTTCCCAACTAGGTAAAATAATGTTTTAAGATAAAATAATTTAAATATAGAGCTTTCTCTGTAATTGCCCAATACTTCTGATTAGATATAGATAAAAGATCTGCTTGGCATGCACTTATTTTTTACAGGCTATGGCTTTGAAGTAATGTACAAAAAATATAAATGTGTACTATTTATTTAGATACTGTTACTCTGGATTAAGAAAAAAGCTACTTGTGGATACTCCTATGTTACCTGAGCTGGATATCAGTGGGGAAGTTGACACTGTCAAGGTAACTTTAAAATTTGTCTATGCATATGAAAATACTATGATGAGTCATATGGTTTAATGAACTTACAGACTTGATCTCGATAACAGTTGGCATCAAAACATTTTGGTAAAGCAAATGTGCAGATGTACAGTATTTTCATAAATATATATATGGCATAAAAAGAGGATATTAACGGTATAAATTAGCTTACATATATTACAAATAAACCAGAACTTTGTTCCTGGAATTCAAGTAGGTTAACTGTAAGTAAGATCAATATATTGAAAGTTTTATCATTCAAGCTCTTTTTTTTTTCTTCTGTGGAAAGATAAAATCCAAAGCATTGTATATGATGCTTAAATGTTACTACAGTTTATATTTTAATAGAAAACACTGTGCACACCATGTGCTGACATATTCCGTAAATAATACATATTTTATCTAAATGGGAATAATTATATGTAATGCACTTGTAGAAACTAATGTAGTAACTTTGTTATTTCATTCAAAACATCTATGCACTGACAAAGGTCTAATGTAGTGAGGATCATTTAATAAAATAGTGGAGTTACATAAAAAATCAAAACCATTGGTAGTACACATCCTTGGCACTCAGATGTTTCAGTTTTACATAACAGATGGAGCATTTTATAAAGCCCCCCCCCCCCCCACAGTACTGTAATGCCAAAGGTTAATGTACAGCTAGTTGGATTTCAATAATCCAAACTGTAATGCCTAAAGTTATTGCACAACTAGTTGAAATGTTCATTCAAGGATGGGTGGTATATCAGTATTTATGATAATCATTATCGTGAAATAAAAATGAATGATTGAAATCATCGTCTGTGCATACAGTACAAAAATATGTATATGTAAAATACTTTTAATAACATTTTTAGCTATATTAAAATGAATCATTTTGTAACCTGAATGAACATCGTTTTTTGACCTTATGTTTAAGAAATGTTTGAGTCAAGCACTAATGTTTACTTGGTAAATGGCCATCGTGTAGCTTGTTGCACTTATTAAATGTTTTGAGTTTCTTCAATTATACATGAAGTGTCTACCTAACAATGCTTATAATGATAGCTTACTTAAATTATTTGATGCAACACACTTCTTGTTTCTTATAATTCTATACTGTGATGAAACATTTCCATAACTTTGTTAGTGAGGAGAATCAATAATATTTTACTATTATGGTATATTCGAATGTTAATGTTGTATTTATTTTGAGTATCTTGGAAGGGTTATTATGCAGTTGTTCTTTTGGAAGCTTGGTTCTGTAACAGCTTCATTATATTTTTTTATATTTTAGAGAAACAGTGCCTTAATTTATTCTTAACTTGTTTCATAAAAGAAAGAGCTTGTTTAAAAGAAAAATGAGAAAACTTTCTATGTGAAGGTAAACTGTAGCTACTAATGTTAATGTTGTTTCTTCAGTTTTGCTAGTGGGAGATACTTGATTGTGTAGCATTTACCTTTAATTTACTTGATACATGGTGTGATAATATAAAAGCTTGAGTCAGCTTAAAGAATAATTATTTGCTCTGTTAATTGGTTGCCAGGATAGTTTTATCATTATTTCTGGTAAGTAATTACTTTTAAAACTTCTACTGCTATGTTTTGAAGTTCAAACAATATCTTGACCAGGCATGGCATAATATCATACAAATAAAACTGATGTAGATTGTATTTCAAATGTTGATATGTCTGAAGAAAAGAACATGTGAGACACTCATATTTCTTGTTTTAACAAAAGTTTTCATACAAAATAGTATAATTTATAACCTGATTGTGAATTTTACTTCTACTTATTTTTGTGTATATCTGAAAATGACTGTTAATGAAAAACAAGTTAAAATATAAAATATTACAGAAATATTTATTTTGTCTTCTCAGATACCTAAAGACAGTAGTGAAGATGACCACTGTAGTACTGCAGCTTGTCACCTACTTTTTGAATGGGCAGAAAAGCTGTTGAACAAGAAATTTAGCTCTGTTAGAGAACTGGCTTACTTCCTAGTGGAAAACATGTATGTAGATAATCGATCAGTAGCAGCATTCACTGTTCTGTCTTCAGGATGTGGAAGTAATTCTGAAAAAGGTAAGTTTCTGGTGTTTTAAATTTTAATGCATCTTTATCTAAGAAAATACAAAAAACAAAATCATACAGATTATTAACAGTAATAAAAATTAGTAAGTACAGAAATGCACCTGGAAAAATCATTTTTGTTAATGCCTTTTATCTTGAATTATCATCCATAATACTAATAGTTGTACTTGTATTTACTCATCTACTAGTAGTTGAAATGGATGAGAAATTATATAAATGTATTTCTTCTGTTTGATACTTTTTGGTTTGAATGGTCAACAGAACCACCTATTTTAGCTTTACTGTATTTTTCAAACTTCCGCTGGTATGAGTAAGGTGTGACCAATTGACTTGCATCCCATTACCACAAAAACATGCTTTCATACTTTGGAGTTATGGTTAGGATATAAGAATGACAATAAAATCCTACTATTAAATTACTCCAAGAGATGGCTAGCACAGATATCCATTTGTAGCTTTGTACAAATATCTGAAACAAACAAAAAAAATCCTGAAATATAATATTATAAACATACAAAGCTAATCAGCTAATGGAAGAACAAGTATCATTCTATTGTTCGTTTTAATCCAATACACTAATAACTGAATTTTTGTACTGTACTATATTGAGATTTTGTTGTTTGATTACTTGTATGTAATAAAAAATTTAAAGATGGTTGACTAAGTGGAGAAACAATTCTAACAGTAATAAATGCCTTTTTAATTTAGTAACACTTAAGTAATTTGAACCGAGTTTGGAAATTGTGATTTAATTATAAAATGCATTTGGTACAGTTTTACTCAGTGCATCTGGATACGTCTTTCTCTCAAAAAAATCAGAAAGCTGTTTTCACACAGATAACATATAATCATTTAAGATGTGTGTGTACTGAATACGTTTTACCAAGATAGCATGTAAAACATGACCTTCAAAAATGTTTTACATAAAGTTATTATAGATTGGTCCTTTAGGTAATTGAATATAATATCTGATACATAATTGATGTCTTTCTTGTTCTATCAACATGAAAATCATGATTGGATTTTTTAAAACTATTTTTTAGTTCAGAGCATTTTTTGGAAACTAGCAAGGAGTCTTTAAATTTTATTTTGAAACCAGTAAGACTAAATATCACTTTTTAAAACATAGTAACAGAGTTATCTTTTGAACAATATAACATACATCTTTCTAACTTTTTTTTTCATACTTGAAGACAAGTTCAAATAAAATTTATATGTAAGATATCTTGCTCAAGAAATTTTGAAGAATGATAACCATTTCTTTAAGTCACTTTCTCTATGTATGTAGGTTTCAAAAATATCTAAATAGTTCTAAAATCCTTCTTTAATCTTTTTTGGATATCTTACCAAAGTATAATTTTTATATATATTTATATATATATATTTTGGCACTCATGTAGAAGTTTCAAAAACAATAAATAATACAGACAACATTTAACTTTACACAACTAAAAACTCTCAAAACACGTAAGTTGTTTCAGTGAGGACTGTGGACTGGCCTAACTAAAACAACTTAAGTGTTTTGACAGTTTCCCATCATCTTCAGGAGTGTAATTGCAAATGTAGAGTACTTCAAATTATAACGTACAGATACATGATGTAATACATATTTATATCCAATCTACATATTACACTATTCTGCTGCTACAAAAGATCACATCACCTATTAACAATTTCACTACATGGAAATGTGGTATGTGTGCATATCATATGTTTTCATAATTGTTTTTCTTATGTTTCTATGCTGGTTTGTTATAGTTGCCTTTGTGTCTGTTGTTCTCTATAACAGATGTTATATACTTTGCCTGCAGGGATGTTGCTGCAACTTTATCCTTTGTGTAGAATAGGTCAATGACAACAATGCCCTTCACTGGCCAAGTGAATGATATCTGTATGTTACAGCCAACGATTGCTGTAAGAGAATGACCAGTCACATGGTGATGCTAATCACAACTGAATAGGATCGAGGTTATCTGTTTAGTATGTAGCTTTAGTTCTATCTGGTTTTAGCCATCCCTACATTTAATTCCTTTTTTGAAAGGTTTTTTATTAGTTGTTTGCTTGTTGTTTTTTTTTTAATGCAGTGTTTCAATAGATATAGGAAGGTTGTATTTATAACCAAGTTCTAAATACAGTGAGGTTCCAACTGTAATATGTATTGTTATCTATTATTGACTGATAATTCCTGTTTCACCTTGTAGTTAAGCTGTTTAAAATATTGTTTACATTAGAATTATGATATTTTTAAATCACTAATAGTTATTAATAATACTTATAAAAGCAGATACTCCATTTGAAACTGTCACCTCAGTGAAATTGGTTGACACCATTATTTTAGATTTTGAGTAATCATGTAATGAAAAAAGAACAAAAGAAAGAAGAACAAGAAATTTGAGCTTTTCAATGATATTTACAGACATTCCCAGAACTTGACTCATTCATTACACAGATATTGTTATAAAAGGAAACACTGTATAGTATTTTAAAGTTCTGATGATCTATTGAGGACATATTTAAAATACCATTTTGATGAACAATCCGAGGCATCCCTACACAGACAGTGCTACTGCCTGCCTGATAAGCTAAATAGTCACCAACTTGCCAAGACCTCATGTCACATTCTCTCTTTCATAAATTTCCAGTAATTTTCTCAAACATTTGCTATTACATCATTTATAACAAATAGAAAGACAAAGTTGTAATTTACAGAACAACATCTAATGATAACCTATTTTGCCAACATATTGAAAACTGTTTCTCAAAGTTCAGATCAAGCAGCTTAGGGAATTATTTTAAGGCACTTATGCCTTAATTATAAAGCCAGTTCAATTATAGTAGCTATAGGACATTGTTTGGTTTGTGCATGTTATTATTTTATGTTCTTAATCATATATATTTGAAATAAATAAAAATTATTTGATGTACTAGTTCCATCATTACAGAAAAAGTAGGTGTAAGTTTCATTGGTGGGGCCAACAGCAAACAAAAACAAGAGGTCAAAGTACATACTAATTTTTTTGTTTTTTATGTATATTTTTCACTTGTTGTTATGAGAGTAACTAAAATGTAAAATTAGAAACTTATTAGGTTAGATTTCTACATAAGGTATGCTCACGAGTAGCTTGTGCATTACGTCTCTTAATACCGTAACTTGAACTATGCATTTGCCATGTGTTTCACAGCTTGTGTCACAGTATTACTAGTAAGACACAGTTTAAAGAGCAATAGAAATTAAATAAAAATCTATGTAAACTGTTACAAGTCTTAAGCTTTTTAGGATAAATAATTGTAATTTTCTGTTACAATATGCAGTCATTCTAGAAATTAAAAAGGGTAATTTAGACTTCATTTTGGGATATATGTTATAAGAGTAGCTCAAGAATTGTCAATGAATTTTGTTGACTAGCTACCTTCTCTCTACCTCTAGTTTATCAGTTCAAAATTAGGGAAGACTAATACAAGTAGCCTTTGTGTAGTTTTGTGAGAATATCTGAAAGAAATGAACCAACAGTTTAACAATATTTTTTTCTTGGACATTTCCATGAAATAGGCTACTAAATTATCTGCCAGTACCAAACACTATCAAAGAACTAAGATGATACCATTTCTAATTTATTTTGAAATTTACAAGATAGCTTTGGTCTGTAACATTTTTGTTATTTATTTTTGGCTTGCTGAACTGGGAATTCATTGCTGAATGATTAATTATCGACCATAATAATTGAATAGTTTGAAGAGCTGAAGGTGTATCAAATCAAAATATTTGATATTTTTATCTGCTTATATACTATAAAGTCATATGACATTTTGACTATTTACAAAGATCAAGTATTAACTTTTTTTAGTTGGAATATATCTACTTGCTAAGTATAACTGGTTGAAAAAAAGTTTTTGTTTTTATGTTTTTGTTAGATGTATTTAGTCCTTATTTTCACCTGTTATTAGATGATAGGCTGTATTTTAACATTTTCTGTGTAAACTGCATTCTCTTTGATTTATAAGTATTCTACAACTACTATTCTAATATTAAAGAAATTAAAAGGTTAAATAGAAATACAAATTATTTACTTTTGTTTTTAAGAATATTGCTTCTTATAAACTTCATAATCGTAACAGAAATCAGTCTTAATTTCTGATTTAGGCTACATGTAGCATAGTTTGTTGTTATGCCATAAAGTACAATGAGGACAAGAATACCAAATTTCAGTAATGCACTTTGTTCATAGATTTCAATCTAGCTATTACTGAACAGACTATAAAAATATAAGATCAAGTTCTTAGAAGTAGTTGAATATATTTATTGATAAAAATTATGTAAAGCCTTTTACTCATCTAAATTCTTATTTAGTAGTTCAGTCATTATTTGATAATGCAGTTGGATTACCCAAATTTTTTAAAATATTTATTCATTCATTCGGATTTTCAGTTAACAAAAACATATGAGTATGCACTGAAAATTGAAAAAAGGACAGAAAATAGAACATGTGCTCTTTATCTAACAAATGATTGGCTTCTTTTCATCATAAAGGTTTATTGTGTTCTTGCTTCTGTAGCAGAAAATTGGTTTGGTTTAAGAGCTGGTCTGATTTGCATAAGAGGAATATTTCTTTTATATTTAAGATAGACTCATCACATGTAGTATCAGTAATTTTAGAAGGTGGGACAAGGACATTATACTTGACTTTAAAGAAATGTTTCAATCTTAACTGAGGCTTCAACATGAATCTTAATTTCCCTTGAGGAATTATAAACTGATCTGAAAGTTTATTCAGTTTTTCTTTGTTATTAACATGAAAGTCTAAGAAAGAAAATTGAGAGTAACAGATTTTGTCACAATTTGTTGTTTCTTATAAGGGTAGTAACATTTGGAACAGTAAATAGCAATACAGAAAAAAACTTTTGTTTTGTAAGATACTTCTTAATATGTTGTATTTCAGCATGAAAGTATCATAGTAAATCAGAACACAAATTGAATTATTTTTGAGGGAAAA